GACCAATTGCACTTGCGTCAAATAGTAGCCAATCAAAAATATGCACAGTTTACCTCGTCCCCTTCCTTCAGTGATTTTCCTCTCGCGACGTTACACTCTGACCCTATATTCCTATGTCCATGCACACTGGAAGTCGTACGATACTTACATCGCGCTTGCGCAAACTAATAGCCAATCAAATTTAGGCACACTTTACCTCGTCGCACCGTCCCGCAGTAGCTTCCCCCCGCAACGATATGCTCGGTCCCTATATTCCTATGTCTATGAGAGTGACAGGTGGGCAGGTGGGCTGGCATAGACTACGGCGTGTAAAGAGAGGAAGAGGTGGTGCGAGTGGGCAGGGATGGATGGTAAGGCGCGATCTGGCGGGATAGAAAAGAGGAAGGCAAGGGAAAGATGCATGAGCCTGGGGAATGTTGAGGAAATGTTTAAGAGGAAGAGGGAAAAATCAGGGGAGAGAAGGAAGGAGGAGGAGGAGGAGGGATTTAGGAAGAGTAGGAAAACGCAGAGATCGCCAGGGAAATGGAGGGGGAAGGAGGGGGAGAGACAGACGTGCAGTCGGTGTCCCTGTACGGGGCACCGGTATGGGCCGATAAAGTCCTGGCCAGCCGGCGAATCAAAGCGATGATTCATCGCCAACAACGCCGGTTGGCCGTTAGGATAATTCGGTCCTACTGCACGACGTCGTTCGTGGCGGCCACGGCCCTGGCGGGCCTCCTCCCGGTCGAGTTCTTGGCGAACTCGTACGCCGAGGTTTATCGGCGTACGAGGGACCCTGACCGTACCGGGAGTGCCCGTCTAAGACCAGGGGCCGTGGACAAAATTAGGAAGAGTGCCCGTCGCAGTGCTGTGTTCCAATGGCAAGAGGCTATTGCGGACTCTGCGACGGGCAGATGGACCACCCACGCCATCCAGCCCTGTCTACCGGAATGGGTAGACAGGCGAGGACGAGGACTCGAGTTCCACCTAACACAGGTACTCACCGGGCACGGTTGCTTCGGTGACTACCTGTGCAGGATTGGTCGGGAGCATACGACGGGATGCCACCACTGTGCGGCCGGTCGGGACTCGGCGCAACACAC